GGAGTGTTGTATGTTTATCTATTTAGAGGAGTGGGCTGTTGTATTGTGGTTTTGTATTTTCGGTAATTCAAGTTAGTGATGTTCTTCTTTTTTGGAATTTTTATGGTTTTATTAAACATTCTGTCTCTAATACTTCTATTTCCCTAAACATACCCTAGATAAACTCGCTTGTCATGTCTGAACTTCCTGTTTGTCATATCTCCATGGTCGCGAACAATTTTTCGTACATGACTTGCAGGTGTCTCCTCTTTCTGTGCATCAATAAATCCAAACTTTCTCTTCTCACTATATCTTTTTGACTGTAATTGCTGCCATTTTCTTGCTAAATTCATAAAAAGAGATGTACTAATTAGACAAAATCTATTGCCTTACTCTTGCTACTTTTATCAAGGAAAAATTCCCATACAAATATGTAAATAAAATGTAAATAATTGCCAGCTTGGCAAGATTGTCACAACATCTTATTTCTCTCCCTATATGTGTGTTTGTATAGAAATTTACTTTTGTCTTGCAATAATTTTTTGACATCTTTTCAGGCATGTCAGTTTACTAATGAATTCATAATGCAGCATTCACAGTATGTATGTTTATATAGTTACCCTTATCCTGTACACAGAGTGAGAGATGTACATGTATGTATGTTTATATAGTTACCCTTATCCTGTACACATGGTATACAGAGTGGGAGATGTACATGTATGTATGTGTATAAATAGTTATCCTTATCCTGTACACAGAGTGAGAGATGTACATGTATGTATGTTTATATAGTTACCCAAATCCTGTACACAGAGTGGGAGATGTACATGTATGTATGTTTATATAGTTACCTTTATCCTGTACACAGAGTGGGAGATGTACATGTATGTATGTTTATATAGTTACCCTTATCCTGTACACAGAGTGAGAGATGTACATGTATGTATGTGTATAAATAGTTACCCTTATCCTGTACACAGAGTGAGAGATGTACATGTATGTATGTGTATAAATAGTTACCCTTATCCTGTACACAGAGTGAGAGATGTACATGTATGTATGTTTATATAGTTACCCAAATCCTGTACACAGAGTGGGAGATGTACATGTATGTATGTTTATATAGTTACCTTTATCCTGTACACAGAGTGGGAGATGTACATGTATGTATGTTTATATAGTTACCCTTATCCTGTACACAGAGTGAGAGATGTACATGTATGTATGTTTATATAGTTACCCTTATCCTGTACACAGAGTGGGAGATGTACATGTATGTATGTGTATAAATAGTTACCCTTATCCTGTACACAGAGTGAGAGATGTACATGTATGTATGTTTATATAGTTACCCTTATCCTGTACACAGAGTGGGAGATGTACATGTATGTATGTCTATATAGTTACCTTTATCCTGTACACAGAGTGGGAGATGTACATGTATGTATGTTTATATAGTTACCCTTATCCTGTACACAGACAATGACAGAGTGAGAGATGTACATGTATGTATGTTTATATAGTTACCTTTATCCTGTAATCTTTCTTCAGACATATAATCCGGTAACTTCTGAGGTTGGGCTACTGGAGGCTGCTGCTGCTGTTGTTGTTGTTGTATGGGGACTTGCTGTATCAATGGCTGTGGCATCAACGGGACTTGTTGTATTATAAATGGCTGCCCACCAGGACCTATCATGTATGGGAATGCCATCTTGCCAAACTTTTATCAACAGCACCTGCAAGGAAATGATTGTAAAAAAAATATAATATTTTAATGGTATAACACACAAAAAGTATATGTAGGTCTTCTTTAAAAACTTATATATAACTCATTATAAGCAAAGCATACATATCAAAATTGATATTCTAATAAAAAATATCTCAGTTTTGAAAAATGAAAGTTACTTAATATACTTGTAAGAAAAATATGTCTTTTGTTAAAATACAATATTTAAGAGCCATGACACAGCAGTACTTTATTGTACCAGACTAGATTGTCATTAAAGGTTTGATTGATCCTCAAGTTTCATAAATTCTATAGTCCTTGAATCACGTTTCCACAGTTGCACATAGTTGTCCTTTTCAAAGTGCTCCAATTCCTGTTTATTTCACGTTTTTTTAGGCAACCAAGTGTTGTCTTCCACTTATACTTCTACCATTATCATGATTATTTTGCCACTTTGGATGCGCATGTAAATATTTTATAGAAAAATAATGTGAAGATTTGTGCTATTGCTATACATTCTATATACAATAAAGTTAAATTCCTCCCGGACGGTGGTCTAGATCGTCTCATGTATGAATCTTGAAACATTCAAGACTACCTGTACTGGTGGCGGTAAGTGGTAGTGCTTTCCAGTCCCTTATCGTTCTTGGTACTTGGAAACAGTTGTTTAAGTTACTGGATAGTCTGTCTGATGGAGTGAGAAAAACATGTTCGCTCCCATTCACATTCGCACCCTTTTTATTGGTTTTGTGTTAAATAATTCTTCAACGATTTTTTAGTTAGTGTATTGCTATAAATACTTTTTTTGTTCATTGTTTCAAAATGAAGTGACTTTCTAAAATCGATTTTTATGTTTTTAAAATATTTTTTAATCGTGTTATGTTATTGTATTGCTATAAACATGATAAATAAGGTTTTTTTTCATTGTTTCAAAATAAAGTGACGTTTTTTGTGTTAATAATTTTTTAATCATGTTTTGGTTAGTGTATTGTTATAAATAAGTTTTTTTTCCACTGTTTCAAAATAAAGTGACGTTTTTTGTGTTAATATTTTTTTAATCGTGTTTTCGTTGTGTATTGCTATAAATAAGTTTTTTTCCACTGTTTCAAAATAAAGTGACTTTTTTGTGTTGAATATTTTTCTAATCATGTTTTGGTTAGTGTTGCTACAGGGTTCGACATTAACTTTTATACCTACTTGTCCAGTTGGGCAAGTGCCCTATTACTTTTACTTGTCTGAAAGTGAAATCTACAGGCCCAAACTTTTACATGCCAGGGTTGATTGTTGTGCCATGATGGCAGCAACTAGACTTGACCACTGAGATACTATGAGGCATATATGAGCCGAGGAGGGAGGGAAAAGATCGACGAATATACGGGAATTGGATCATTTACATAGAGATACTTATTTCATAATAATTTATCTAAGAAATGCCATTTCAAAAAACCCTTCTTAATAAACTGACAACAACTGACAAATTTGTTAAAGTTTAATTTCATTTTCTCTTTCAAGCTTTTATGTTTTCCATCTTCATGATCTTAGGGAAATACACATCCGATGTCAAATTCTAAAGTTAGAACAACGAAAATAGACCTCCGCTTTCCATTGATCGGTGGGAATAACACGTGCGTCGGAAACGCCAGAGTGGTGTCCCGATTGATAACGATAATGACGAAGCAAAGCCGCGGCCGCCTGATTGGCCAATATTTTTAAACGTGATCTATTTTTGGTAAAATGGGGAATTCAGTGCAAACAAATGACGAAATATACGCGTTGAAGGGGGATTAAGACCGCTTTACTCTACGGTGAGGTGTTATCACTGAGTAATCTGTGGACAAAACAACAGACACTATTGATTTTGTGAAATTTTAATCATATAACAGTTTTTTTTTCACTTGCCCGATCGGACAACAAAGATGATATTTTTACTTGTCCGAATACGGCATTGCCTTGCCCTGGGCAATCGGACAACTGTAAGTGTCGGACTCTGTGCTATAAAAAAAAAATTTCATTGTTTCAAAATAAAGTGACTTTCTAAAAAGGTTTTTTGTGTTGAATATTATTTTAATGTTAAGATACCAAACCGCTATTAAACTCAACAACAATAACATTTTGAATCTTCATTGTTTTTACTCATACCAAGCTAAATACATGCTAACTACATGCAGAATTCATATCAAAGCTAGTTAAAACAACAATTACGATTTTCAAACACATAACAATAACACCAAGTTTAGCTGTGTAACCCCATATTAACAGTAATCATACATAATTAACATATAATATGATAATTAATCATCAAATCAATATTTTTTTTAAATCCCGAAATTTTATTTATGAAAAATATTTTGATATAATTATCTAAAAAGCATCTAACAATTCATCAGGTTTTTGAATAAAAAAAAAGAAGGTGCGAACGGACCCGATACCTTGAGCGAATACCTTCTGTCATGTCGTTTATGAAATTATGTAGACAATGGTAGAAGAGCAACAAACTGGGTCGAGTACTGAACCTTGTACCAGTTGTGGGATGCACAATACTACCATGATTGTTTCGTATTCCCCCCCTTTTTTAACTACAACTTGTTTCCTGTTAGAAACGAAATTTTGTATCCATTTGTTGGTTTTACCTCTGATGCCAAACGGCCAAAAGTCTGCCATAGACTCGGCATAGTGAACCAGTTTGTGTGTTACTATTAGTAGACTGTGACTTCCATTTTCGAACGTCAATGATTTCATTAAAAATATTTATTTCATTTAGACAGAAAAAAAATCGGAAATAAGACCGGCGAAATAGCAAAACTACATAAATCGCTATTTTGACGGAGCCGGCAAAAATAGCCACTGACAAACCAAATCAACACCAAAGTAATGCTTGCAGTTACAGCTCACAAGCCAGAGGCAGACAACATGGACAAGGTTCTTAATAAGTGCAAATGTAGAATTCGATTTAATAATTCAGCGTTAAAACTTAATGCACATATCTAAACTTTAAGCTTGCAATGAAACGTACCTCAACGTGCTGAATGTTCGGCAAATGGCGGATTTCGTAAATACTGCGTCGGTCACGTGTTTTTACATAAAGGTGACGAAAATGCTTGAGATGTTCCTAATGAAAATAGATGCATTCCTTTTAGTATAAAGCAATATATAAGCACGTTTTAAGGAAAAATAATTTTTGGAAGACATTGATATGAAAAACATTATTTTATTTTGTTAAAAGAATAGACACTAACTGTATTTTAGTATAAAAATTCCAAGTTCGGGAAAAAACCTTACCTATTTTAGACTGTGGAGAGTTGTGTACCTTTGTATGTAATTAGCCAAAAAGCATTAATATAATCATACATATATATGTGAAAAATCAGAGCACACACATCTCAAGACATGTCAATATGGAAAAGGGTTTACACGTGGTGGTCATATAGTAACATAGTCTAGAGCATATTGAACAGGTAAAGTTTATAGGGGAAATATATATGCATACATGGCATGTCAGTAACTGCTAGTAGTCCTTTGTTAATTTATGTATCATTGTCATTTTGCTTAGTTTCATCTGTTACCTATTCTGACATCGGACTCAGACTTCTTTTAAGCTGTGTTTTACTGTGCGTATTGCAGTGTGTTTGTTTATTCTACATTGGCTAGAGGTATAGGGGGAGGGTTGAGATCTCACAAAACATGTTTAACCCAGCTGCATTTTTGCGCCTGTCCCTAGTCAGACTTCTCTGGCCTTTGTTAGTCTTGTATGTTTTTTTAATTTTAGTTCATTTATATTTTTCGGAGTTTAGTGTGACGTCCATTTTCACTGAACTAGTACACATGTTTGTTTAGGGGCCAGCTGAAGCCCGCCTCCGGGTGTGGGATTTTCTCGCTGTGTTGAAGACCCATTGGTGGCCTTGGGCTGTTTTCTGCTCTTTGGTCGGGTTGTTGTCTCTTAGACACATTCCCCATTTCCATTTTTAATTTTATGATATATAGAATAGAATATAGAATATTTTTAGAATAGAATATAATTCACAATATATACCAAAATACACTAGTCAGGCATACAAATAATTCCTGAGGTTCTGCCAACATGCATGAAATTAGGGTAGGAAGAAAGGCAGTTTTGTTTTTCAATAGGATAGGTAGGAAAACAAAAAGTTTCTGTATGGGTTAGTCATGGGGAAACAATCATCATGATCATTAACAAACTAATAGTGCTTGTCTAAAATTTATAAAAAAATCTTAGGGCCAATGCAATTAATATAGAAACTATACCAGGTATGTTTTTAAGTGGGATATCAGCAAGTCTGTTTTTAGTAGATGTGTCAATGAACCTGTCTGTCTTTGAGTGGAGGTGTCAGTAACTTTGTCTTCGATTGAATATGTCATTAAGTCTGTCTTTGAGTGAACATGTCAGTAAGTCAGCCTTTGATTGAATGTGTTAGTCTGTCTTTTATTAAATGTGTCAGTAAGTCTTTCTTTGAGTGAACATGTCAGTAAGTCAGCCTTTGATTGAATGTGTAAGTCTGTCTTTTATTGAATGTGTCAGTAAGTCTGTCTTTGAGTGGATTTATCAGTAAGTAAGTCTTTGGTTAAATTTTCAGTAACCATGTCTTTGTGTAGATGTGTCAGTAAGTCTGTCTTTGAGTGGATTTGTCATTAAGTAAGTCTTTGGTTAAATTTTCAGTGAGCATATCTTTGTGTGGATGTGTTAGTAGGTCAGTATTTGATTGAAAGTGTAAAAAAGTCCATCTTTGAGTGGATATGTCAGTGAGTCTGTCTTTGAGTGGATGTATCAGTAAGTCTGTTCTGTCTGAGTGGATGTGTCAGTAAGTCTGTCTTTGAATGGATGTGTCTGTAAGTCTAAATGATTGAATGTGTCAGAAAGCCAGCCTTTGATTGTATGTATAAGTCTGTCTTTGATTGAATGTGTCAGTAAGTCTGTTTTTGAGTGAATGTGTCAGCAAGTCTGTCATTGACTGTGAAAAAAGTCTCGTCTTTGAGTTGATATATGATAAAGTGTACATGTCATTAAATCTCTGTCTTTGAGTGGATGTGTCAGAAAGTCTCTGTCTTGGAGTGGATGTGTCAGTAAGTCTCTGTCTTTGAGTGGATGTGTCAGTAAGTCTGTTTTTAATTGGATGTGTCAGTAAATCTGTCTTTGAATGGATGTGTCTGTAAGTCTGACATTGATTGAATGTGTCAGTAAGTCTGTTTGAGCTAATGTGTCAATTGGTAAGTATTTGGTTAAATTATCAGTAAGCATATCTTTGATTGAATTTTCAGTAACTATGTTTTTGATTGGATGTGTCAGTAAGTCAGTATTTGAGAAGACATTTCAGTAAGTCTGTTTGTGAGTGAATGTGTCAACAAGTCTGTCATTGAGTGAATGTGTAAAAAGCATGGTCTTTGAGTTGGTATATGATATGTCAGTTAGTCAGTCTTTGAGTGGACATGTCAGTAAGTCTCTGTCTTTGAGTTGATGTGTCAGTGAGTCTGTTTTTAAGTGGATGTGTCAGTAAGTCTGTCTTTGAATGGATGGCTGTAAGTATGACTTAGATTGTATATGTCAGTAAGTCTGCCTTTGTTTGAATGTGTCAGTAAGTATGTATTTGAGTGGATATGTCAGTAAGTCTGTCTTTGAATGAATTAGTAAGTCAGTCTTTGAGTTGATGAATCAATAAGTATATTTAAGTGGATGTGTCAGTAAGTCTGTTTTTGAGTGGATGTGTCAGTAAGTCTGTTTTTAAGTGGATGTGTCAGTAAGTCTGTTATTCATGTTATTCCTTATGGGTTGGCAAATTAACCCGAGGTGTAGTGAAAATCAAATGAACAACTGGTTGACATTGTCATGACAGTTGTAAGTATTTTTTCTATGTTGGCTTTAGCATAAATACAAAAATAGACAAACACTTGCAAGTTTTGGTCTCTGGACTTCAGTGACAAAAATAGACAAACTGGCAACTTGCAGTCTCTGCACTTCAGTTGATACAATAAGATGATGCACTTACTTATATCAATGAAACATTTGCCACTGGTAGTTAAGCAGACAACATTGAATCAATAAACGCAATAAGGTGCCAAAATTTTGATAGTGGTAAACATGGTAAAGGAGGTTAGAAAATAAGTTATAGTGGTCAAGCCCAAAATAACAAAGCTACAATACCTACTATATTTATGCTTCAAAATGCAGCCCTGAAGTTTTGATTGACATATTCTGTAGTGAATCATGACAAAAAAGCACGTCTTAACATATAATCATGGGAAAACATGAGTAAAACAAAAAGAATTCATACCAACCAACTTACCTTTTTATTAAGGTGGTACATTACACTACAGGGAGATAACTATGTAAAAATCAGCTGAACATTTTAATCATGTTCTATTGTTAAGGAAATATTAATCTTCTCAATGATCAAAATTAGTGTTTGTCACACTGCTATATATACCCAATGAAATTTTTATATTTTTGTCAAAGGGTCAAAGTAAGTATTTTGTCAAAATTTTATGAAAATTAAACAAGCCAAAAGTTAAATCACAAAAATACTGAACTCCTAGGAAATTAAAAACGGAAAGTCCCTAATCAAATGGCAAAATCAAAAGCACAAACACATCAAACGAATGGACAACAACTGTCATATTCCTGACTTGGTACAGGCATTTTCTTATGTAGAAAATGGTGGATTGAACCTGGTTTTATTAATTTTAGTCAATGTGTTTAATTTGGTACCACCTTGAGGAGGAAACGTTAAAAAGTTTTAACACATATACTTGTTTTTATTGGTCCTTTTAGAAAAGTTACATTTAGTTTTAAAACAGATTGATTGGTATTTCTATTTATAAGTAAACAATTGATATTTCTTTTTTGAAAGCAAACATCAAAGACCCACATTTCAAAGGCAAATGACACTTAAAGAATTAAAGAATATTTAACTGTGGAAAGATATCTTAAAAATCTGAAAATAAAAATATGTTGCAGCTGTGAAAATATATTTCTGATTAAATCAAAAGATAAAAAAATTACATTTTTTTGGTGTTAAACATTTACATGTTGGAGATTTGATTTTGAAAAATGATGCAGTACATAAGGAGAATCTTGAAACAGATGTATACCTTGCAACCGTTTGGAGCTACAAGGTAAGAGATCTCCCTCTTTCTAAGGACAGAGATTGTGTGTTATTAGATCTATACCTTTCCAAAGTAAAAATCTGGTTATCAATTTGGTGAAGTACAGCAATAACTTATGAACCGTAAAACCAATGCTTTTCAAATTTAAATATGTTGTTACGGATGACAAAATTGAGGTCGAGTTCGATATTAACGATTTTCATCTTTACTGGTCAGGAGTTATGGTCCTTGATAGATTGGAAAATGGCACTTTATGTTGTTTCCATGCAATAATTTAGGAACTGTTCAACATATGCTTTTCAAATTTTAATATGTTGTTACTGATGAAAAAATGGAGGTTTGATATTGACGATTTTTGTCATTACCAATGAGGAGTAATTGTCCTTGATAAATTAGAAAATGGCACCTTTACATTTGTATATAGTTTCTGTGCATTAATTAACTTATAAAATGTTCATCTTATGCATTTCAAATGTTATGATATATATTGTGACTGATGACAAAATGGAGGTTATTTTGATATTGATGATTTTCACTTCTGCTGTTCAGGAGTTATTGTCCTTAATAGATTGGAAAATAGGCAGAGAACGTAGCATGTCAAGCAAACCTAATAGCCCCTTCAAAATACAGAAAAACTGGTTGGCTGTCAATTTCTGAATTTGACAGCTCATTTCTTGTATTTAACTAAGTTAATTTTCTTCGTGACCTAGGATGTCTTGTTTCTATTCAAATAATCATTGGTTATTTTTGCAATACAGTGAAAATAAAACATAGAAAATACTGTTCACAAATCTAATGATGAAAGAGGGTGAAAATACGGTTATTTTTGTTAAAGGATTTTTTTTTTTTATCTCACTCACTGGGGACAGGTCCTAAGGGGGAGAATTAAAGTTTTGTCGAGCCTGCAACATTTAAGTTGCAAAAGCAAGACATAGCGATCCTAGATTCCATTGTCGGCATCATCAGCTTCAACATTTGGGTTCAGCCTGTGGTTAGAGTTTTTTTAGACATCAATAACTTTGTCAAATCTTCATGGAATTTTATGATATTTAGACAGAAGCTTGTTTATGACCAATATACAGTACCCACAGCTAAATTTTGAAAATATTTATTTTCATTTTTCCATATTTTACTGATAAATGGACTTAGTTTTTTTTTCACAGTTAACATTCAGATTTAGTCTGATGTTGAAGTTTTTCAGTTATCAATAACTTTGTCAAACCTTCATTGAATTTTATGAAATTTGGACAGAAGCTTGTTAATGACAGTATCCAGAGCAAAATTTGGAAAAATCTTTATTTTCATTTTTGATTCAGCCATGCTGGATCTATGCGATCAC